GGCCCTGACTGCCCGTGTAGGTGGAGGTGACGGGCAGGGTTGCTGTCCCAGTGACCGGGGCATCCCCTGCATCTGGGTTTGCTCCTAGAACCCCATCTTGAAAGCAGAACCCCTGGTTCGAGGATCACCCACATTGGCTCCCGATGCCCTCCACCGCCACGCGCCCTTCGCGTCCTCCTCAGTGAGGTTGGAGGTCGTTGGGGACTTAGGTGGGCCCGCTTGCTCAGCTGGCTCACGTTAACCCCTCACATGCCATATTAGCCCCCTGCGTCCCTCGGTGGTCACGGTCCTCCCACGCTCACTGTTCAGCAAACTGCACCGCTCAACCCTGCCTGGCTGTCAGACTCCCTCCAACCCCATCTTCCGTCAGTGGGGACTGTTGTCCTCTCTCCAGATTTGCCTCAGTCTGAGCTCTCTTGTCGTTGGTTCACGGCTCTGATTTTTCTTCTTCTTCTTCTTCTTTTTTAATCATTATTATTTTTTAAATTTGACCAGAGAAAGAGAGGCGGGGTGGAAAAATGAGAAAGCAAGCTACCAGGTCCGGGACTTGAACCACAGTTGGCCATATGGGAGGGAGTCCACCACCTGTGTTTTTAAGTTTGCTGAAGCCTTGTCTCTCGGGCTCCCCAGGTCGTGTGCAGCCCCTGTCCCAGGGCACAGGGCGGGCACAGGTTGGGTGTGGGGCGGTCCTTCCACGAGGCCCATGCCTGCTGCTCATGGCCCAGGGGCCGTTCAGAGCAGGCCCGCTCCCGAGGTGCCGCTTCCTGTGGTTTTGCAGCAGGGCCAGCATCAAGCCACGTGCTGTTCCGAGTGGGCTGGACAAGCGCCTGCCCCAGGGCCCCCATCGCCCTCCCCCCCAGCATGCTGTGGGCCTCAGCTGCACGGACTGCGTGCTGTTAGAGAGGTCCTGGCACATTCTGGGCCCGTCTGGGGCCCTGAGGAGAGAGGAGGCTTGGAGGGCGGGGCCGAGGGGACACATCCTGGCTGTGATGTCACTGTCCTCTGCGTGCTGGCCCTAGCTGCCCAAACAGGAAGGAAGCTCGTTTCCCTGCCACCGTGCTTCCCAGGGAAGGGGAAAAGTTGGGGATCCTGCCTGGCTCCCTCCCCCAGCCCTCTGTGGTGAAAGCAGTCATGTGGTTTGTTGGGCTGTGGGTGTGTGTCATCTCACACTCGAATGCTTCGGCCTTCACGGTGTCACCCCATTTCAGAGGTGAAGAACAGCCCACGTGGTGGGCGGCGGGGCAGGTGTGGCGTCCCACACCCTGGCAGAGCTGGGGCCCCTTGGGCGAGGGGCGGGGCCAGCCAGCTGGGTTGGAGCTGGGGTGGCCTTGCGGGGGAGCAGCTGCTCACGTGCCCCTGGGTGTGGGGAGTGCCTTGACTTCCCGGCCCGGCCCGATTGGGGCGGCGACGTGGGGAGCCGCCGCCCTGGCA